GGCCGCGCAGTTCAACTCGGGCCGCGCCGACCTGCGGGTCCTCGGCAGCGCGTTCGCGGGGGCCTTGGCAGGCAAGGAGGAGGAGGGCATCGAGGCCCTGGCGGGCCGATGGCCTGCATCGGCTTGCGCGCTGGCGCGCCACCGCTTGGGCTGGTCTGCTGTTCGGCCAGGGCTCTTCCTCAGCGGCCTGCAGCAGCCCATGGACCTGAAGACCCTGGGCTCTTCTACATTGGCAAAGCACATTGCTGCGAGCCACGAGCGGCCCCTGTGGCGGGACGCGGCCAAGCACCCTGGCCTCGAGCACCTGGCAGGAGGGGGCGCACTCTCCAGCATGAGGCGCGTCCTGCAACGCAAGAGGATGAGCAAGCAGACGGCCAAGCAGATGAGCTGGGCCAAGAACGCGCTGGTTGGATGTCTATGGCCAGTGGCTCGACGCTTCGAGGCTGAGCGTCCGCCGGCATCGTCGCCTTGGTGCCCCTGAGGATGTCAGGCACACGGCACTGCGCGGCGCCTGGCCTGACAGTGCCCCGCCGCGGTACTCGGCCGCGCCGAATGGGAGGCCCGCGAAGACGGCGACGAGAGGCGACCGCCAGACGACATCCGCTTCGGGACCATCGTCGACATGGGTAGCACGAACGAGACAGAGGATCCTCTGCGGTCGCAGGCGCTCGCACCAGAGCACAGGAGGTCCCCCCCGCTGCCCGCGGAGGAGAGGACGGCTCAAGGAGGGCCGCGGCGACCTGGCGGGGCAACCCCTCCTGGGCGACCCGTTCACGGACGGCAGCGTCCTGGGCCCGAGTTTTGTCTCAGCTCGCGGCGGCTGGGCAGTGGTCGTCATGGGTCAGGACGCGGAGGCCGTCAGCATCTTCGGCCCGCTGCCCTGGCCATGCCCTCAGGAGTCGGGCGCGGCGGAGCTGGTCGCCGCCATCGAGGGGCCCCAAAACTGCATTCCCCCAGTCAGGATCTTCACCGGTTGCCGGCTGCTCGTGGACGGCTTCGACGCGGGCAAGGCGCGGCGCCTCCTGTGGCAGAGGCCCTACAGGGAGCTCTGGGTGCGCCTATGGGCGGTGGTCGAGGACATCGGCATCGACATCATCACCATCCACACGGTGAAGGCCCACGCGACGCTGGCAGATGCGCGGGCCGAGCGCGCCACCGCGCGGCAGCGTCGGGGCAGCCACAGCGCCGACGCGCGCGCCATTCAGGGCGCGCAGCGTCACCCTTCGGACGACGCCGTCCGCGCGCGCAGCCTGCGCCAGGATCGCCCAGTCAGGAAGGTCTTTCGCTGGCTGAGAGCTGCCATGCGGGAAGGCGACGCCGAGCTGACGGCGGAAAACGGCTGACGGCCCAGGCATGGCAGCAGTGCGGCGCGGCTGGCGCGGATGCAAGCTGCGCTGGAGTAGCCGCTGCAGCTTCCGCGATTGCCCAAAGAGGACGGGCGGTCGGCGCGGCGCGTGGCTGGAGGTCGGCAGAGACACGCTCTGGGCTTGCCAGGAGTGTGCTGGGCGCGGCGAAGCGATCTCGGGCTCGTGGACCTCGGGCGCAGAAGACGCCTCGGACTCTGTCGCAGCTGCCGCGGCGATCCTCACCGCGAACGCCGCGCTCCTCTCCAGCCAGGCCAGCGGCGCGCGCGGAGTGGCAGCAGATGATGGTGAACGCCGTGAAGGCGGCGGCGGTGGCGCCTCGGCTTGCAGCGGCGGCGCGGCCGCGGCGGCGCGCGCGCGGCCTGCTGCGCAGCCGCCGCCCCCGCCCCAACCAGCCCTTCCACCGTGGCGGGGGCTCGACCCGCACGTCTCACGCGAACTATGGCGTGCAGGCAACCACCCCTTCCGCGTCAAGTGCGGCTACTGGGCGCAGAGACGCAGGGTGGCAGGCTCGGCGAAGGAGTGCCCGAAGGCCCCCAAGAGCGACAGGCAGAAGGCGGCCCTCGGTCGTCTCAAGCGGGGGCTGCAACCAGCGGGGCAAGGCAGCGCTGGCGACCCTGAGCCCTTGCGCCGCATGCGCAGGCGTATGGGCCGCTAGTCAGCCTTGCTTATCTTGAGCCAGAACCATGTGCGTAGGTTCGCTTGCGCGAAGGATCGGGCCCGATGCCGATGGCACTGCAACAAGTCCAAGCGTGAGGCATAGGCCATCAGGATAGTTGCGCTGCTGCCGGCTAGGTCGCTTCGACGTTGCTCACAGTTTGCTTCTCGCGTGTGCATGGCATAGGCTCGGTGCGCGCGCTTAGTTGCTCGCGGCTTGCAGCGTGCGCTAAACCAAGTGGAGGTTCGCCCACGCGCGGGATCGGGCTCCGTCGCCAGCGGCACCGCAACCAGTCCAGCAGAGTGCTGAGGGGCGGGATGCGATGCTGCGGGCTTCCTCTCTCTCTCTCTCTCACGCCGCGTCCGTCTGCACAACTACCACTACTATACTACACCTACCGAAGGGACCCACACGGCCGCGCCGCGGGCGGCGCCGAGTCCAGAAACGCCCGGGCAACCGCCATGGCGACCTTCACGCTGACCAGCGTGCGCCACCGGGCGCCCCAGCGGGTCGGCAGCACGCCCCGGTCCCTCTGCCTCTGCGAGGCGAGGACCGCGAGCTCATCCAGAAGCCCAGCGAGTCTGCCGTCGATGTAGCCCCACGTCTCAACCGCACACGGTAGCACGGACTTCCCAGCGGTGGGCCCTCACCTCTCCTCCTTGCACCGAGCTCCCTCTTCAGCGGCAGCCCCTGGGGTGGCAGCTGCAGCGCTGATGATGTGGTTTGCTGCTGGATGGCGAACCGTGCCGTCCAGCAGGCGATCCGGCGCTGTGGGGTGACTGAACAACTCTACATCACGGACAGCTTCTTCCAGCACTACTCTGCCGTCACGGCGGCGCTTTTTAAGGCCGAGCTCAGGGACCACCTGTTCGAGCAGCGCCGCGTAACCGGCATCTCGGCCTGCCTGCGCTAAGATGCCATTGAGGGAGCTGTGCCGCGCGGACCAGTAGGGCCCAATGTTGCAGGAAACGGCGTGGTCGCCGAAGACGTCCATGTCCATTCCGCACACTTCTGCTGCATCCTTTGCCTTGGCGTGCGCGCACCGGGCGCCAGCAGCATAGATGGGCATGCCGATCCTGAACTTGATGGCCATGATGAAGCTATCGTCTTTCACCTGGGGCCACCATGAAGCCGGGAACTCGGTGAGCCATCTGCCGGAGACAGGGCCGGAGCAGCACGGTTCCGTGCTCGGTGCTGCCTCCACCGCAGCTCGGCTGCCTCTCTCGCGTGGCAAGCTTCAGCGGAGGCGGGCCCAGGTGCGTAAGTTCACCCACGCACGGGATCGGGCTCTGAACCCATTGGCATTGAAACCAGTCCGAGTGTGTGGCCAGGAGCCGAGGGGCGAGTTGCTTTGCTGATGATCTATCGTCTGTGCTGCGCGCCGCTCTTGCTTAGCCCAGTCGTGGCACGTGGTTGCCTACAGGCTCTGTCGCACGAGCGGAAGCTGAACCAGGTCTGTCAGTTCGCTTACACATAGGATCGGGCTCCGTTGCCAACGGCGGTGCGACTGTCCTACTTGGGCCCGCCCCAGGGAAGCGCTGCGACGCTGGTGGTGAGGTGTTGTCCTGCGGCGTGGCGCCCGACGCGCGCTTGTACCGCCTGGCTCGATCTGTCTGGCGCGGAGCGCCATTTCATACCAGCAGCACTACCGCTGTGCTGCACCCCACTGGCAGCAGCAAACTGCCTCCTTTTTGCTACTGCCGCGAAGCGCGCCTTTCCGTGCCTGCCCTGAGCGGTAGCTTCGGAGGCTGACCCAGGAGTGAAGGTTCGCCCTCACTCGGGATCGGGCTCCGCGCCATTGGCAATGCAACCAGTCCGTCTCCGTGGCCAGGAGCCGAATCGACGGTTTGCTCTGCTGATGGATCTCAGAGGCGCGCTAACCTTCGTACCGCGTGCTCGCACGCCGTCTGTTCAATGTAGCTTCTGGCGCGCCGTGCGCGACAGCTGCCCGCACGTCTGCCGGCGTGGAGGGCGACCCGGGAGTGTAGGTTCGCCCACGCTCCGGATCGAACTCCGCAGGCCTGAGGAGCAACCGCGTCTTCGAGTGGCCTGGCGCCGTGGGTTGGGTTGCTTCTCAGGTGCGGCGTACAGCAATGCTGTGTACCAGCCCGCTTTTCTGCGCAGCGTGGCCTCTGCTAGCTGCCGCAGGGGCTGACTCGTTCCGACTGCTGGGATCGGTCATCCGCTTGCCTCGTCTAAGGCGGCTGGTTGCTCTCGGCGCTCGGACGAATCTGCGAGCGTGCGCCGAGGCGCGCGTGACCGAGCGTTGCCACCGCAGGGCCAAAGGGAAACGTCTCGGTCCGAGGGACAGTACGAGCTACGAGCTCCTGTCCCTTTCAAACGCGGGGATCATCATCATCATCATCATCATCATCATCATCATCATCATCATCATCATCAGCATCATCATCACCCTCATCAGCATCATCATCATCATCATCATCATCATCATCATCAGCAGCATTATTATTATTAGTATTATTAGTATTATTAGTATTATTAGTATGATTAGTATAGTACGTTTATGTTATTATTATTATTAGTAGTATTCGTATTAGCATTATCATTAGTATTGTGATTATTAATATTAATAGTGTTATTGTTATTTGTGCTATTACTATTGTTATTATCAGTATGATACTTACTACTATTATTATCGTGATTAGTACTACTACTAACACACGATCATTGTTAGCACTAGTACTACGAGTCGTAGTATTATTATTTCTTATTGGTGTTACTAGTATGGTTGATAGTTTTATGCTTCGGGCTATTAATATTAACATTCGTATTACTGTTCGTGCTGTCAGGATTTAGTAGTAGTAGTAGTAGTGTCATCATCATCATCATCAGCAGCAGCAGCATCATCGTCATCATCATCATCACCAGCAGCATCAGCACCATCACCCCCTCCCTCCCCCCATCCTTCCATCCATCCACCCCTTCCTCCCTCCTCACGCCCCAGGGCCGTGCCGAGCCTCATCAGGTCGTGCCACTTACCCTGGTGCCAGTCCGCCAGCAGCTTCTCCGCGTGCCCACGCTCGAGGGTGATCCTGGCGGCCCCCCGTGGCCGCACGGCCGCGCGGCGAGGGCGGCGGCTGCTGCTGCTGCTGCTGCTGCTGCTGCTGGGGCTGCTGCTGCTGCGGCTGCTGCTGCTGCGGCTGCTGCTGCTGCGGCTGCTGCTGCTGCTGTTTGCTCCGCCTCCTCCTCCTCCTCCTCCTCCTCCTCATCCTCCTCCTCCTCCTCCTCCTCTCTTCTCCTCGTCCCTTCTCCTCGTCCTGGGGGGGGGGTGCAGGGGGGGGGGGGGGGGGGGCAGGGGAAGGAGAGGAGGAGCAGGAGGCGGAGGATGCAGAGGAGGGAAAGAGGGGAGAAAGCAGGGGCGGAGAGGGAGCACGAAAGGCAGACGAGGAGGAGGAGGAGGAGGAGGAGGAGGAAGGAGGAGGAGGAGGAGGAAGGAGGAAGAAGGAGGAGGAGGAGGAAGGAGGAGGAGGCAGAGGAGGAGGAGGAGGAGGAGGAGGAGGAAAAAGGAGGAAGGAGGAAGGAGAAAAAAAAAGGTAAGAGGCGTTGAAGGAGCGGAGGAGGAGGAGTCAACGGAAGCGGCCACATGTCGGCGCGGCGGGCACCACGAGCCCTGCACGGCATGCCAGCGCATGTGTTTGAGGCAGCGCCGTCTGAGGATCTGGCGCACGGAGGACCGCTGCGGACCGAGGAGTGCACGGAAGGCGGGCACACTGTGCCTGGGCCCTCCGAGAGCTCAATGGAAAAAAGGCAGCGAGAGATCGGCAACGCCTGTACAAGCCTCTCCCCTAACAACAACGCTTCGCTGGAGGGCTCGAAACATACAACAAGAGGACCGCAAAGGAGGCCAACGGTAAGGACGGGGAGCCCGTGCCGCGCCCACCCAATGCCGACAGCTGCGTCGCCCGGGACTTCCTCGCAATGGATTCAGGAACCGTGCTCTCGCCTCAATGCTGGCTACATGCTTGGTCCAGGCGGCCATGATCCCTCGTAGAAACATGCGCCGAGGTGCACATTACCGTGCCCAGACGGTCACGACCCCCTGTGAAAAATATGGCATGGTGCCCTCCTCCTCCCCCTCCTCCTCCTCCTCCTCCTCCTCCTCCTCCTCCTCCTCCTCCTCCTCCTCCCCCTCCTCCTCCTCAGCCTCCTCCTCCTCCTCGTCGTCCTTCTCCCCCTCTCCTCCTCCTCCTCCTCCTCCTCCTCCTCCTCCTCCTCCTCCTCCCCCTCCTCCTCCTCAGCCTCCTCCTCCTCCTCGTCCGTCCTTCTCCTCCTCCTCCTCCTCCTCCTCCTCCTCCTCCTCCTCCTCCTCGACCCGCACCTTCTCCTGTGCTGCTTTGCTGGGCCGATTTTGCCGCAGCGGGGGCGCGCCGCGTGGCCAGTGGCGCACGAGCCGGCGGCCGCCGGCACGCGCAGCGGGAGTGTACCGCAGGTTTGCGTCGTGTCGACCCAGGCGATGGTTTTTGACACCGCGGGATATCGTTCAACCTTGAATGATCGGCCGCTTCCGAAACGCCACATCGTCGAACATCGATCGATTCTGGGTCGCCGTCGGCGTTCAACATTGAACTCCGGCGGCGGGGTCGCCGCTGGTCGACACGACACGAACCTACCGTAACGGGCGTCGCGGGTGGGTCGGGAGTGGCTGGAGGAGAACGGGTGCGGAGAAGGAGAGCGGAGGGGGGGAGAGATGGATAATGACAGAGACAGGAGGTGGAGAACGAGGAGGGACGGCTCCAGGAGACCCCAGGGGCCCTTGAGGCGCCCCCGCGAAGCCCCAGGAGGCCTCCGCGAGCCTCACGAGATTCTCCCAACGGGCCCTCATGAGGCCACAAAAAGCCCCCCGGACGCCCTCAAGAGCCCTCTACGGGGCTCGACGGAACGGCGCAAGAAACTTGAATAAGAGGTGGAGGATAAGGAGGGTGGGGGGAGAGAATAATGAGAGCCTGAGAGGGGTGGGAAGGTGGGAGGAGAGGCAAGAATTGTTCAACGCCCCAGTGCTGCTTGACCCCCTCGCAAGGGGGCCGTCTGCTCTATCTCCCTACTGTGCCGTCCAGGGAGACGGGAGAAAACTTACATTTTTCTCCCTCTTGATCTGCCGTGGGTGCTTGCCTTGCGAAAAATACGTCGAAGCAGTGTGCCCAGCCCCCGTCTTCGACGGGACACAGGGGGCACCCAACTTTATCACACGGCCACCTGAACTGTAAAAGCCACACCGACGACAGATACAGAGGAATGAGCCATCCGAGCAGTCAACGACCGCACATTGGTGGCCGTTCTACTCGATCAGACTAGGGCTGAGCCTCAGCGGAACAACACATCGGCCAGGAGAAGGGCGAAGGGTGCCGCTTCTTCCTCGCAGACATGACGTGCACTGCCAATATTCTCCCGTCCAGGCCCAGTCGTGGGCCGCGGACTCCGAAGGACTCGCGTTTTTCGGAGGCCTAACGAATTCCGCTTGCGAGACATCGAGGCGAGGCCACTTCGGCAGTAGCTTCGTAAAATCACAGATTTGGCAATCTTCACAGCGCGATCGATTCGCTGCAAGACTTCAGGCTCCGCCTGAGGGTGAAGACCAGCTCCTCTCTTGGCCGCTGTGTCTGCATGATGGTTGCCAGTTCTGCGCCATCGCTGCCCCGCAGAAATGCCATCCTCATCCAGATCTTTGTGAGCCGAGACTTTAACCAGGCCTTCTAAACGAGGCCCAGCTCCCGAGGGGCTTCAAGCACCGAGCCAGCGTAGGCCCGCTGCCCCCCGAGGCGGTCCCGAGGATCCCGAGAGGCCACGGAAACAACAGAGGCGCAATCAGAGTACAACACAGACTGCCCGTCGAGGTTGACACCCGCGGCCGCTATACTAGAGAATTCTCCCGCTTGTGGGGTTTGGGGCAGGTGGGCCCAAACGACCACGTACACGGGCCAGCATGTGGCCTTAATCGGATAACATCACAAAAGCTCAACCAGCCCTGGAGAGCTCGCGTATTTTGGAGTAAAAACAATTGCCGTCTAGAAACATAATTCCTTGGTGCTTTACAGACTCGGGCCTAAGATACTCCAAACCAGAGTCCAAGAATCCTTGTTGGAAGTGTTCAACAGTCACGCCAGCCATTTCATCTTGCTTGAACGGGGGCGGGACGAGGTCGCCAGGGTGAGCGAAGGCACCGATGAGGAAATTGATCAGGTCGGGGGCGTTATTCTCAAGGGCCTCCTTGGCCCACAGAATCAGATCAGCATCTACCAACTCGGCTCGCTCGTCCTGGCAGGCCTCGCACTCCCAGATACGGTGAAAAACGCTGTCCACCTTAGCTTTACAAAGAGCACAAAGGGGACTGACCTGGTAGCCGCACCTCAGCGCACGCGAGTTGGTCCAGATTGCATTGCAGACTGGGGCTCTCAGGGAGCCCTTTTCCCAGGCGGTGAACTTTTTCGATAGGAGGAGTACCGAGAGGAGAGGGGGAGGCGTCGGGCACATCGGCCATCCGCCATCCCATCCCCATCCCCATCCCACTCGCCTCTCCCTTCGGGATCCCTCCCAAGCCGTTCCCTCTGGTCCCTCTCCCGATTCCGCACCCCTCTGGGACTCCCCTGCTCTCCCCCCTCCACTTCTACATGCCCCCTGTGTCCTCAAGAAGAGATATCTGTCCCTCCCATTCCCTCGCTCTACCTTCCTTCCACTCCCCACCCACACCGCCGTCGACCCGCCAACCATCCACATCCCCCTCCCCACTGCATCCCATCCCGCCCCTCCCGACCCTTTCCCTCCACCTCTCCGGAGACTCCAAGAACACGGCGAGACCTCCATCCTTCTCTTCCCCCTGCCTCTCCTCCAAGCTCCGCCCCTCTGCGGACCGGAGGACCTCCGCTCCCCGGAGGCCCCGAAAACGCCCCCCAAGAAATGATGCTACCAGAGCTCCCCACATGAGCATGTCACACTGGGGCCTACGTGGGCAGCATGGTGGGGCCTCTGCGGGCGCGCTCGGGGCCTTGTCGAGGGCCTCAATGGCGCTCTGGCGGGGCCTTCCTGGAGTAGCGGGAGGGGCACGAAACCGTGTAAAGAATATAAATGTTCGATACCCTCCTCGCTCAGGCGGGGCCTCCCTGGAGGGGCGGGAGGGGCATGAAACCGTATGAATAGTATGGTTCTCCGATACCCTCCTCGCTCAGGCGGAGCCTCCCTCGAGGAGTGGTGGGAGGCGCAAAAGCTTGTAAAGTGCATGGTTCTCTGATTCCTTCCTCGCTCAGGCGGGGCCTCCCTGGAGGGATGGGAGGGGCACGGGCTCGAAACCTTGACAAGCGTATGGTTTTCCGGTACCCTCCTCGCTCAGGCGGGGCCTCCCTGGAGGGGCGGGAGGTGCACGAAACCTTGTCAAGAGTGTGGTTCTCCGATACCCTCCTCGCTCAGGCGGGGTCTCCCTGGAGGGGCGGGAGGGGCTCGAAACCTTGTCAAGCGTATGGTTCTCCGGTAGGAGGGGCGGGAGGGGCACGAAGCCGTATAAATACGATGGTTATCCGATACCCTTCTCGCTCAGGCGGGACCTCCTTGGAGGGGTGGGAGGGGCACGAAACCGTATGAATAGTATGGTTCTCCGATACCCTCCTCGCTCAGGCGGGGCCTCCCTGGAGGCGCGGGGGGGGGCACGAAACCTTGTCAAGAGTGTGGTTCTCCGATACCCTCCTCGCTCAGGCGGGGTCTCCCTGGAGGGGCGGGAGGGGCACGAGACCTTGCAAATTGTATGGTTATCCGATGCCCTCCTCGCTCAGGCGGGGCATATTGGGAGTGGTAGTAGTGGTAGTGGTGGTAGTAGTAGTAGTAGTAGTAGTAGTAGTAGTAGTAGTAGTAGTAGTAGTAGTAGTAGTAGTAGTAGTAGTAGTAGTAGTAGTAGTGTAGTAGTAGTAGTAGTAGTAGTAGTAGTAGTAGTAGTAGTAGTAGTAGTAGTAGTAGTAGTAGCAGTAGTAGTAGTAGTAGTAGTAGTGGTGGTAGTGGTAGTGGTAGTGGTAGTGGTAGTGGTAGTGGTAGTGGTAGTGGTAGTGGTATT